GCGAGACCTCATCTCTACAATAAATAAAAAATCAGCCGGGCATGGTAGCGCGCGCTTGTAATTCTGGCTACTTGGAAGGCTGAGTCAGAAGGATCCCCGGAGCCCAGTGGGTGGAGGCTGCGGTGGCCAGGAGCGGCCACTGCACTCCAATCTGGGCAACGGAGTGAAACTCCAACTCAAAAAATAAAAAATAAAAAAATAATAATAATAAATGACAATATAAATAACTCTACTGACAGTCAAGTAAAGACAGGAAAGCCAGCATAACCATCAGTGTTACTAAATTTAAGAACAACCCCAAATAATAATTATATTAAAAATGAACAGTTGGGCAAACCTACCTTCCAATTTGCCAGTTTTTTAAACTCTATAATTTTTATAACTGCTCCCATGAGAATACCTAGAAAAGAAAATGTAAAGTTTAACATACATTTAAGATATGAGAACGATTACTCAGGCTTAAGATACTAGAGAAACTGAATATTATTCATTATCTCTCTAGATGGTTTTCTGGAGTTCTGCAAGTATTATGTCTGAAAACATAAGAATGGAAACTAGGGCCAGGCTCGGTGGCTCAGCCTGTAATCCCAGCACTTTGCGAGGCCAAGGTGAATGGACTGCCTAAGCCCACTGGTTTGAGACCAGTTCGGGCAATTTGGCGAGATCTCGTCTCTACAATAAATCAAAACTTAGCTGGATATGGCAGCGTGTGCCTGTAGTTCCGGTTACTTGGAAGGCTGAGGCAGAAGGATCGCCAGATTGAGGCTGCAGTGGCTGAGAGGCGTGCCACTGCCCTCCAGCCTGGGTGACAGAGTGAGACTTCAACTCAAAAAAAAAAAAAAAAAAAAAAGAATGGAAACTAGTATTAAGTGTGATGAGTCATATAAATTTCTCACTTGCATCTCAGGCAAACACACCACAATGAAGTATAAAAGTTTGGGAGGAAGCAAAGGCATTATAAAGCAGGACCCAAGGATACTCTGCCTGGCACAGAAGACTTAGTGCTTGTCATTTCTACTACATCCACCCAATTTCCACGTGAAACAGCAGAGAGTTTAGAAACTAAATATGCCCTGTACTGTTTATTCCTACCATTTTCCAAAAAGAATTCACGATCAATTTCTCAGACTCAGATGGCAGTTCTACGTGGAATATTTAGTTAGAGATAAAATCCAAATGCTGAAAATAACCTAAAGTAAAAGTTTTGTTAAATTCCTGGAAAAAAACAGATCATCTAAGTTCAGGCGTGTTTCCATAAAGCTGACAGGCTCATCACTCTCATAAAGCACCTACTAAAAATAATCCTCCAAGAAGCAGTATGGGCACAATTTATGATTGCACTGATACTAGATAAATGATTCTTAACCCCAATGGTTCCTGAGAATCACCACGGGAGCTTTTTATAAAATAAAGACACCCTGGCCAGGCACGGTGGCTCAAGCCTGTAGTCCCAGCACTTTGGGAGACTGAGGCAAAAGGATTACCTGAGCCCAGGGGTTCAAGAACAGCCTGGGCAACTTGGCAAGACCTCGTCTCTACAATAAATCAAAAAATTAGCTGGGCGTGATGGCATCCGCCTGTAGTCCCAGCTACTTAGAAGGCTGAGACGAAAGGAACACCTGAGACCTGTGGATTGAGGCTGCGGTGGCTGTGAGTGTGCCACTGCATTCCAACCTGGGTGACAGAGTGAGACTCCAATGCAAAAAAAACAAAACAAAGCCAAAAATAAATAAAGATGCCCAAGCACAACTCCCAGTATCACAACGTCTGGTGGGTGTGGCAAAGCGAGCCTGCAGACCATGCCATGGATGCTTCCAGATGAAGACTTCCCCGACAGGACAGGGCTGAAGCAGTACAGCTTACTGGTGGGGCAGGAGATAACACCAGAACAGAAAGCTTAGTAGGAAAAGGACCTGGCTGGGGCGAGGTGGCCACGAAGCCAGCAGGAGACAAGTTCATTCCAACCCGACAAACCTCTACACAACCGGGATTGTTACATGCTGTTAAAACAGTAATAAAATGGAAAAAGAGAAAAGGACCAAGAAAAAATACAGCCGCGCTCAAAAGGGAGTCAACTGACTAAATGTTCAGAACAGAGTTATTCACTCACCAGCCACAGGGCAAGCGGGCTGATTCCAACCCCTCCTGCTACAGCCCCAAAGATCCTCTTTTCTCATATCTTCAGATTGTATAGTATGTTCTAAGGAGTATTTATTTATTTATTTATTTATTTTTGAGTTGGAGTCTTACTCTGTTGCCCAGGCTGGAGTGCAGTGGCACGCTCACAACCATCACAGCGCAGCCTCAACCTGCTGGGCTCAGGTGATCCTTCCACCTCAGCCTTCCAAGTAGATGGAACTACAGGTATGCACCACTACGTCCAGCTAATTTTTTTTCCAATTTATTGTAGAGATAAGGTCTCACCAAGATGCCCAGGCTGGTCTCAATTCCGTGGGCTCAGGTAACCCTCTCACCTTGGCCTCCCAAAGTGCTGGGATTATAGGCATGAGCCACAGTGCCTGGCATCTAAGGAGTTTTTAAATGTTCAATTAGCCAAACATTTTGTGCCTACTCTGTACAATGTTACAGATAAGGAAAAAAACCCTTGTAATCGTACTCTGCACCATCCCCATCTTAGTTCTCTCCCATCCTGACCCAAGGCAACCAGCCATCTTGGTAAATTTGGGGAATCATCTACTGATCCTTCTTTATTCTCTCTCTATTCTCTCTCTCTCTCTCTCTCTCTCTCTCTCACACACACACACACACACACACACACACACACACTCTTAACTGAACAGTACTGGTGTTTGGTTGCATGACACACCTGAATGTATAATATGTATGATAATGTAATGTGTCACTCTACTACTTGCCATTCCGCTCAGTGTCAAATCTGACACTGAGATTATTACCAAGATATACGGCTCATTCCTTTTAGTAGCTCTACAGCAGAGCATAAAAGTATCATAGCATATAGTCCAGCTACTTGGGACACTGAGGTGGGACAATCACTTGAGCCCATGAGTTCACTGTACTCCAGCCTGGGCAACATAGCAGACTCTTAAAAAAAAAAAAGCTACAAATTGAACAGATATTTATCCGAAGAAGATGTACAAATGGCTAACACATGAAAAGATGTTCACCATCGTAACTCATCAGGGAAATCCAAATCAAAAACTTCAAACTATAATGAGATACCACTCCACATCCACTAGGATGGTTATAAAAACTAAAATGGAAAATAACAAGTGCTGTCAAGGATATAGAAAAGTTGAAACCCTCATGCATTGCTGACGGGTATGTTAAATGAGGCAACCACTGTGGAAAATAGTTTGGCAATCCCTCAAAAAGGCAAATAGAGTTATCATATGACCCAGCAATTCCACCTGTGAGAACTGAAAACACAGGTTTATGCAAAAACTTGTACACAGATGTTCATAATGGCACTATTCATAACAGTCAAAAAGTAGAAAGAGCTCAAATGCCCATCAGTGAATGCATGAATAAACAAAATGTGGTACATTCAGACAATACATTACTCAGTAATAAAAAGGAATAAAGTACTTATACAGTTGCAACTTGGATGACTCTTGAAAATATACCAAGCAAAAGAAGCCAGACACAGAAGATCACGTTACAATTCCATTTATGGCCCAGCCTGTAATCCCGCGCCATGGGAGGTTGAGGTGAGTGGATTGCCTGAGCCCGAGGGTTCGAGACCCGCCTGGGAAACTTGGTGAGACCTCATCTCTACAATAAATAAAAAAAAGTTAGCTGGGTGTGGTAGCACGCGTCTGTAGTTCCAGCTAGTTGGAAGGCTGAAAAGTAAGGATCCACCGGACCCCAGCAGGTCAAGGCTGTGGTTGCTGGGAGCAGCCACTGCACTCCAGTCTGGGCGACAGAGTGAGACTACAACTCAAAAAAAAAAAAAAAAAAAGAAATATCCAAAATAGGCAGATCTACAGAGACAAAAATGGTTTCCTAAAGTGAAGGAGGAAAGATCTGGGGATGACAGCTAAGGGAGGGGTATGGGGTTTCTTTTTGTTTTTCTTTAAGTTGGAGTCTCACTCTGTTGCCCAGGCTGGAGTGCTGTGGCACAATCATGACTCACCACAGCCTCAACCTCTTAGGCTCAGGCAATCCTCCCTCCTCAATCTCCAAAGTAGCTGGGACTACAGGCACGTGGCACCACACCCGGCTAATTTCTGTAGAGACAAGATCTCACTATGTTGCCCAGGGTGGTCTTGAACTCCTGGACTCAAACAATCCTCCTGCCTGGCCTCCCAAAGCCCTGAGATTACAGATATAAGCCACCATGCCTAGCCTGGGGTTTCTTTTCATGGTGAAAGAAAGTGTTCTAAAATAGATTGTAGTGTAGTGATGGCCACACAACTCTGTGAATATACTAAAAACCATTGAATCGTACATTTAAAATGAATTATGTGGTATGTGAATTACAGCTCAATAAAGCTGTTGCAAAAACAGCACCACAGATTGTAAGATTCTATTTATAGAAAATGTCCAGAATAGGCGAATTCAGAGACAGAAAACAGATTTGTTTTTTCCAGGAGATGGGGGAAGGGGGAAATGGGGAGTGACTGCTAACAGGTATGGGTTTTCTTTGGGGGGCTCATGAGAATGTTCTGGAATTAGATAAAGACAATAGATGCACAACTCTGGGAATATACTTAAAACAACAGTGAATTGTACACTTTAAAATGGTGAAGTTTATGATACGTGAATTACATTCCAATTTTTAAAAAGAGCGCCTTTTTTTTTTTTGAGTTGGAGTCTCACTCTGCCACCCAGGCTGGAGTGCAGTGGGATGCTCACAGCCATTGCAGTCTCAACCCACTGGGCTCAGGTGATCCTTCCACCTCAGCCTTCCAAGTTGCTGGAACTACAGGCGCACACTACTACACTTGGCTGTTTTTTTAATTTATTGTAGAGACAAGGTTTCGCCATGTTGCCCAGGCTGGTCTCAAACCTCTGGATTCCGGCAATCCTCTTACCTCCGCCTCCCAAAGTGCTGGGATTACAGGCATGAGCCACCACGCCTGTCTTCAGATTTCATTTTTAAAGCTAGTGTTTTTCTGTTCTACTAAAACCTCAACTTTCTTTCTCCCTTGTAAATGTATACCACGCTTTAATCATCATGACTAAATGCTTTCATGAAGCAGTTACATTTGAAAATCAGTAATTATTCTATGGTCCAAGCTTGTGTCTGTATTATTATTTAAGAGATGCTAGGAAGGTTTGTAAAATATGATGTGATATTTTTATTATTTTTATTATTTTATTACTTGAGTAATCCTTTTGAGATTGGTCCTAGGACTAAACCATGGTGCGGCATTAAATTAGCACACTACTACTTTACCTCTTGAGATTGAGGTTCAA